GGGAGTGGAGGCAATGCCAGGATGGCAGGAAGGGGTAGGCAGCAGCCTGGGGGACAGGCGGGGCACTGGCTGAGAGCTCCAGAGAAGGCTGAGGGTCCCAGGGAAATCCAGGGGTCTTGGGAAGACTGGGGTTCTTGAGGAAAGCTGGGCGTCTCACGGAAATTGGGGTTTTGGGGAAGGTCTGGGTCTAGGAGAAAGCTGGGGTCCTGGGGAAGGTCAGTAGGGATGGGGTTCTGGGGAAGGGAGGACCCTCGTGCCAACCTTGTCGAAGGCCCACTTCTCGTGTGTGTACTCTGCGTACTTGTTAATGAAGGAGTCGAGCTTCTCCGGGATGATCACGCTGTTGGTGGGGAGGAAGAGGGAAGAGACAACAGGTATGGGCCAGCCCCTCCCTCCCCCTCCACAGCCTTCCTTTCCCAGCCCCCAGGTCTCACTTGAGGGTCTCCACAGGCCGGGGGTCAAAGTTGCCTTCAGCGTCCACTGTGGCCTTTTTCTCAGCCTTGGATGAGTATGAGGCATCCACATAGTCAGGGGGCAGGGCCCCTGCAATGGCGCACAGACAAGGCATGGCCATTCGGTACAGATCCGGGTCATACTTCTGCAGATGCCAGGGTGGGAAGGGGGGTCACTTCCTTCAAACCTTGGAGCCCCAGAATCTCGAAGACACACCCTGCAGCCATTAACCATCCTCCCTGGACCCCAAAATCTGAATTACGTACTCCATCCCAGAAAGCCAAACTAGATCCAGTTGGACCCTCGAACAACCCCCATATTATTCCTCTCCGAGCACTGGTCCACCTCTAGATGGACCTCTGGATGGACCCCTGGATGGACTTCTGGATGGACCCCTGGATGGACCTCTGGATGGACCTCTGGATGGACCCCTGGATGGACCTCTGGATGGACTCTGGATGGACCTCTGGATGGACATCTGGATGGACCCTCTTCCATAACCCCCAAAGTGGAGCCTCGACCCACAGATCCTCCCAGATCCAAACCTGCAAACTGCCTTGTTCCCTGAACCCCCAAGCTTGGAGTTTCATTCTGAATCCCCAACTTTGGGCCCCAGACCCTCCACATAGCCCCCTTTTTGGGACCCCCTGGGTGAGCCAGACCTTATGGGCCAAGGAGTCAAAGATGCCCCAGAAGAGTTTACGAGTGAGGTGCAGCTCTTCCTCCGAGGTGACCCCAAAGTTGGCCCAGCCGGTGGGAAGGCAGTAGTACTTCCAGCAACGCTCATAGTGGTTTGTGAGGAGCTGACCAGGAGCAAGAGGGGGACACACAAACGAGGGGTGTAAGTGGATGGCAGACAAATGAAGACCCAGGGAGACTCAGGGGTGCCATGCCAGTGCTTTTAAATTAGGAAGGAGATGTAGATTATGCAAATGACATGCTAATAAGGGAAGAAACGAGTGCTTATTGGGGAGCGGTGCTGGACCACTTATGCAAATTTAGCATTCTAATTTAGATTCAGGGTGGGCACTAGAGCTGGATTGGTGTGGTGCTACTTTACACAAATGAGCATGATGGTAATTAATCCATGGGTAGGGCAGTGTCCAAATGGACATATGGATGCAGTGATTTGCTCTTATGCAAATTAGCATGCCGAATAAAACGTAAGCAGTACCCTATGCAAACGGTAATTGGGAAGAGGCCTCATTATCCAATATGCAAATTTGAAATCAGAGACTGATTTAGATGTATTATGCAAAAGAGTCAAGATATCTGAGTTGTGGGGGGGGCTCTCCTTATGCAAATTAGCATGCAAATGAACTAATAATAGGCAGGACAGTATACAAATATTCAGAATAGCTGTGAGAACTGTTTACTTAAATAAACGCACTCATTTGAATAGTGGAAGGCCTGTGGTCTGGGCAGGGGAATAAGCCTGCTAATTAGGAAAAGTGGTGTGCCCCATGCAAATATATGCTAATTGAGGCAGGGGCTGGCTCACGGTCGGGCAAATTAAACGCTAACGAGAGAGTATTAGAGGCACCCATGATGCAAAACGAATGTGCTGGGAATTCCAGCATGCAAACGAGAATGCTAATGAGGCTTCTCTGGGGACGGTGGGCTCCCACATGCCCGGAGGCTGGGCTGGGCGGTGTCGCAATGAGCCCCCTAATTTGAGGGCAGAGCAACCCAGCGGGTGGTGCGTGGAAACGAGCGCGCTCATGCAGACGTGCCGTCACCTTGAGCGGCATTTTGGCGAACTCGTTGAGGATGGGCACGTCGAACACCAGCCGTCGCAGCAGATGCTGCAGCATGGACGGGCGGATGTACCTGCGGAGGCACGCGCAGGGCGGTGGGATCGCGGCTCCAGGCCCGCCAGACCCCGCGGCGCCGCCCCATCCCAGGCGCACCCCACCTGCAGAGCGCCATGAGGCAGTCCTCGATGACGTCGCGCTGCGCCTTCGTGAGCGAGCGGCCGCGGGACAGGCGGTACACGGTGTGAAGCATGGAGTCCACCATGATGGCGCGGTGCTCGGTTCCCGCGAAGAGAGGCGCACACTTGGTGATGAGCGGCAGCACAGCCAGGCAAAGGTAGCGGTTCAGCGCGAGCGCCATCTCCGTGGTGCTGCAAGTGGCCTGGGGCACGGGGCAGGGTGGGGACCTCAGGTCCGCTGGCGCGCGCATCCCTACCGCTGCCCTGGCACTTGTCCTGGACAACTCTGGGTAAAAGTCCCAGTCTCCTGATCCTCCCCCAAGCCCTGCCACTCCCAGTCAACCCCTTTCAATCAGGCGGAGAAGTCCCGAAGCTGATGAATGAACTCCCATGGCCCTGTTACCCATGGAGTCAACTGTGTCTTCCCAAATACGTGCGTTGGTTAAAATCCCATTTGGGAATGGGTTGTCCTTGTGATGTTAATGTCCGTAAATGTCCCTTTCCTGCTCCTTTTCAGGGCTATTTATTTGCTGGAGACACTGGTCATTTATCCAGTGGAATTCCCACATTTTGGATTTGGCTGGTCGCTTCCTTGTGCTGAGTTAACTTGTTCCTCTGTCCTCTGTATTTCCTATAAACCAGTGCTTATAGATTTGAGGGAAACGCTGGCGGCACAGTGGTTAAGAGCTACGGCTGCTAACCAAAAGGCTGGCAGTGTGAATCCACCAGGCGCCCCTTGGAAACCCTATGGGGCAGTTCTACTCTGTCCTATAGGGTTGCTATGAGTTGGAATCCACTCAATAGCAACCAGTTTTGGTTTCATAGATGTGAGTTCCAGTCTTCTTCTTTCAGTTAATGGCAGTCATTCCTCCCATTTTAAGGAAAACCTCAGCCAGTTTACCCTCCAGCAACATCCCCATTCCTCGGCCTCACGGTCAGCGACTCGGGTGAGGAACGGTCTCCACTCCCTGTCTCCAACACCTCTGCTCCCAGCTCTCTTAGGCCCTCTCCAATTAGGCCCCACTCTTCCCACCGCCTGGAAACTGCCTGCTGAGGTCCCCAGGGACCTCCATCCTGCTAAACCAGTGGCCTATTCTCAGTCCTCAGAGTGTTTGTCCTGCCCCCTTCTGTCGCTCTTCTCGTTGTGCGCAGGTCTTTGACTGTCCATGGTGCTGAGCCATCACTGAGAATGATTATTCCTATAACCTGAGTTTTGGAGACTCCCACCCTCCCAATCCCAGAACCCAGAGTTTTTCTTGGTTTTTGTTTTCTATCTTGATACGGGGGTGGAGGGCTATGATATGTGTGAGATCCGAGATCAAACAGAAGTGCTACTGCTGCCACTGGGGTTCCCGTGGCCCATCTCACATCCCTGTCTGGAGGCGGGGAGCGTGGCCAGGCTGGCCAGGGCTGCTCACCGTGTCCAGCGAGGCAGCCGCCCTCATGTCGGGCAGGAACCCCACATCCAGCACGTGTAGTAAGAAGTCCTGGTTCTCGATGCCATACACGCGGTCCAGGAAGAGAACCATGGATGCCTTGTGGTCCGGCACAAAGGATGCCAACATCTTTGGCTGTACCAGAGCTCCGTCTGTGGGCGGGGAGGGCAGGGGGTCAGGGATGCCCTCCTGAACCCACCCACCCCCTCCCTGGCATCGCCCCCTTGCTGAGTCCCAACCCTCCACACCTTTGCCCAGGGTGGGGATCTGCAGCGGGAGACTGATGATGCCCACGAGGTCGTCCAGGGGCACGAGGGAGCGCAGGATGGCGCGGATCCGAAGGGCTTCACCCTTGCCGGCTTGGATCAGCTGGAAGCGGGCGGGTGGGCACATCATCGGGGACCCCATGTGGTCATCGCTATTCCACCCCTTCCCGCCACACTGGCAGGTTAGAGCTGACCTCCGTCTCGTGCAGCTAACTCTAGAATCCCAGCACTGGGCCCAAAACTGTGGGCCCTTCTAACCCCTGGGAAAGAAATCTCAGCAAGAGAGGCTTCCTTCCTCCAAGCTGTCTGCTACACCAGCAAACTGTCGTTGCTAAGAGCACTTCAACAAAGGGGGCTTGTGAAACACCAGGACTTCAGAGGCTGTTGCTGTGTTTTCTGAAAGCAACTTTCAGTTCCAATGGGAGCTGATTGGATACCTCACTTCATAATTTATTGCTCTCTGGAAATACATCTCAGTTGAAGCTCTATATTCTTTGTGAAATTGCCTCTTCCTTTTCCTGTGGGTGTAGGGCTAAAACTCAACAACCTCTATGACTCTTTGAGTTTCTTATTTATAGAGAGTCTATTCTCATGTAAATGAGCCCATGGAGAGCGAGATGGCAAAGGGTCGTTAGCTCCCCAAGTCCAGTTGTTCCTCCTCCATTGGCAGCTGCTGTGCCCCTCCAACTCCTGGCTCAGACATCCCTCCTTCAGGAAGCCCTCCCACACTTCTCAGAGCGTGCTCAGCTGCCACCTCTGGGCTGCCACAGCTCCATGGGCTCCCCTCATCCCGGCTGACCCCTCTGCCTGTGCCTTCCGCATCCCAGCCCAGGCCCTCCGGACTGTCACTGCCTGGTGATGGTCTGCTTCCCCCACTGGACTGGGAGATCCCTGAGGGCCAGGGCCGAGGCCGTCCTGGTGACCGTTGTGTCCCCAGCATTGCCTAGCCCAGGACCACCCACTCAGTGAGCACTCAAATAATGTTGCCGAATGCCCGAATGACAAGATTCAAGGTCCAGCTGCGCGTGCCCTCCCGGCCCCCTCCCGCCCTGGTCTCCCAGGTCTCACATGCATCTCTGGTGCACAGCGCCCGAGCAGGTCGATCAAGGCGGCGTAAAAGGACATGATGGAGTGTCCCAGGTGCACCCGGTTTTCCTCAGGGGGCTCCTCCCCGAAGCTGCAGGGAAGGCGGATGGGGTGGGGAGGGCAGCAAGGGGCACGGAGGGCGGGCTGCCTCGTGGCAGAGTGGGCTGGGGAGACTCACAGTTCTCGCCGCCGATCCCTGCGCACGCCCGGGCCGTCGCGCGCGGGGTCCTCAGAGATACGGATGGCTTCCTCAATGGTCGCCAGCAGCCCCGAGCCGCCCTCGCCTCGCAGCGCAGGCCCGAAGCACTCGGGTTTGCGGATGAGCAGCCGTACCACCACGTTGGCGTTCTCCTCCACGCTCTCACCTGCCGCCCGCCGGGCCGGGGGGCTCATGAGCACTGCCCAGGAACCCTGCCCAGCAGCCCCACGGCCCAGCACTTCAAGGGCTAACGCCGGGCCCATCAGCCTCCAAGACCCTCCCTGTGTCCACTCTGAGGGACCCCTGCCCAGGCCAGGCCTGTGACCCCACACCCCAGCCCTGTGACCTCGTCTCACCATTGACAAAGACCGCGAATCGCAGGAAGTCCAGGTATCGCTCGCCCCCACAGGGGTTCCAGCCGATGTCCGGGTACCCTTTGGCCAGGAGCATGGGGCAGCTTTGGAGGCCGCAGCCTGCCAGGTAGGACACCACCTGGGGGCCAGCAGGGAGCTCAGCCAGAGGCCAGAACCACACCAACTTCCTCCCCAAGGCTCTGGGTCTGCCCATCCTGGAGCTCCTCGATCCGATTTATCTCTGGATCCCTTGGCAAACAAGCAACCTGGTCCTGTCCACCCTTGGCTCCTGCTGAACCATCACAGAGCCTCCTTGGCGTCCCTGTTCCCACCCCCTTCTCCCGGGTGTGTTCCCCACACACAGCACAGGAAGCCAGTCAACACCTGAGTCAGATCACTCCTCTGCTTGGGACCCTCCTGTGGCTCCATCTCCCTCGGAAAAGCCAGAGTCCCCCCGTGACACCCAAGACCCCACACAATCTGCTCTATCACCTCCCTGTCCTTGCCTCCCATCGCTCTCCCCCTCACTCACTCTGTTCCATCCACACTGGTCTCCTTGCTGTTCCTCAAACTCACCAAGTTGACTCCTGCCTCAGGGCCTTTGCACTGGCTGTTCCCTCTGCCTGGAATGCTCTTTCTCCATGATGTCCACATGGCTCCCCTTTACTTCCTTCAGCGCTCCACCCAAACGTCCCTTCTCAGTGAGACTGTCTCTGGCCACTCTTATCTAAACTTCGACACCTTCCCGACACTTGATATTTCACTCATCAATAGCTAACACACTATACATTTTACTTGCTCGTCTTGTTAATTATCCATCTTCCAAACTAGAACGTCAGCTTCGCAAGGACAGAGATTTTAGACTGTCTTGGTCACCGTCATATCCCTACTGCTTTGGACAGGTCCCGACACATAGTATGTATTCCACATATATTTGTTGAATGAAGAATAATACAATAACCAAACCAAAAAAACCAAACCCCTTGCCGTCGAGTCGATTCTGACTCATAGCGACCCTACAGGACAGAGTAGAACTGCCCCATAGGGTGTCCAAGGAGCAGTTGGTGGATTTGAACTGCCGACCTTTTGGTTAGCAGAGGAGCTCTTAACCACTGCACCACCAGGGCCCCAATACAATAACAGCTAACCATAATTGAGCACTGACTGTTATAAATGCGTTCAAGGATTTTATTTAATCCTCAGAACAACCCTACGAGGTTGTTTCTATTATTATGATCATTCTACAGATGAGGAAACAGGAAGGTAGAGAACCTGGTCACTTGCCCAAGGTCACACAGCAGGCAACTGGGGGAGGGGAGCAGAACCCAAGTCGCTGAGCTCCAGAGCCCACACCCTTCACTGTAAACACAGAAGTAGAGGCACAGAGAGCCAGGACAAGTGCCAAGGCCAGAGAGCTGGGAGTTGTGGAGCATGGATCTGCACTCAGCCCTTGGTGCCCCACAAATGAACAACTGGGTCCTGTCCTGTCCCTGCAAATTACTGCCCTTCTGATTCGGCCCTGGACCATCCAGAGTCACCCTTTCGAATGGGGCCAGAATCAGCAGGCACCCTGAGGGCCCAGGTAGGAGCCAACCTCCTCCCCAAACCAAGGGGCCAACCTCCACCCTCCACACCTTTTCCAGGTCCTGCTCCTGCAACGCCAAGGCCAGCTCGTTGTTGTCAATGACGGAGGCGGCCGCCACGTCCAGGGGTGTGGAGCCCTGCATGCCTGTGGGCGTGAAAGGCAGTGAGAATGATCTTCGGAGGTTCAGAACAGCCTGTCTTGCTCCTGCTTGTCTTACCTCCTCCAGGAAGCCACCCTTGACCACTCCCTTTCCAGGCCAGGTCAGGTGCCTTCCCTGGGCTGTGCTTCCCCTACCCTAGCCTTGACCACCCTGGGCTGTTGCTGTCTGGGATGGGTCTGTCTTTCCCAATACACTGTCAGCCCCACGCGGGCCAGGCCCAGGGCTGTCTCAGTCACCACTGTGTCCCCAGCACTGCCCATACAGGGTCAGACCCAGGGTTGAGGCTGGGTGTTTGCTGAATGCCTGTATGTGTGAGGGAGCCAGAGTAGGGCAGGCCTGGGAGGGGCTGCCAGGAGTGGGCTGGGAAAGGGCAGGCCCCGGGCTTGGGGTGCTCACCGAGGCCGATGCCACTGTTCTCCAGCAGGTAGCTCAGGTGGTCGAACATGGAGCGCTGGTTCTGCCGGCTGATGCGGCAGAAGTAGCAAAGGAAGCGGCAGCAGCTCGTCACCATTTTGGGGAAGCGGATCTCCTGGGGGCAGGCAGGGTAGCCGGCTGGTCGGTGCCTGCCCTCAGCAGCCCCCTGTCCTGAGCTCCTGGAACACCCATGCCTCTTACCTTGGACTCACCGCCACCGCCTCCAAGGACGTTCACCATGACCTCCATGACCGTCTCGTGCATGCCCAGAGCCCGCATCAGGTTTGGGTGTTGGTAGAAAACTTTGTTGTTCATGATGTTTCTGTGGACAGGTAGAAGGCATGGGGTCACCGGGGCCAAAACCCGTTGCTGTTGAGTCGATTCCCACCCATAGCCTCATGGCGACCCTATAGGACAGAGCAGATCTGCCCTATGCGGTCTCCAGGGAGCGGCTGGTGGATTCGAACGGCCAACCTTTTGGTTAGCAGCCGAGCTCTTAACCACTGTGCCACCAGGGCTCCAGACCAGGGGCCAAGTGGGGCCCAACTGCAGGGAGAGCCCCCAGACCTTGAGGAAGCCGTCACCACCACTGTGTTAACCATTAACATTTACTGCGTGCTTACTCCGGACCGGGGACTGCCCTACTTTACAAACCCTGACTCATTTTATCCTTATGCCCACTCTGGGAGGCAGGAACTATTATTATGCCTATTTCACAGATGAGGAAACTGAGGCATGGAGCGAAGGTGGGCTCCGTAGGGCAGAGATCTTTATCACGTTGCCCCTGGTGTTCTCAAGTGCCTAAACAAGGGCCTGGCACACAGGAGGTGCTCAATAAATGTTTGCTGAGTGAATGGATGAGACCAGTGGGTATGACGCACCAGACATTGAGTGAGTGCTCAATCCGATTATTTTTCTTATTACTATTACTACCACATACGTGAGCTCACTGAAGCCTCACTACAACTCAACGAGAAAGTCATGGCCATCCTCCATATTATAGCTGAGCAAACGGAAGCTCAGAAAGAGTACACCAGTTTGTACACCCATGTTCACTGCAGCACTGTCCACAGTAGCCAAAGGTGGAAACAACCCACGTGTCCATCAACAGACGAATAGAAGAACAAAATGTGGTACATCCATACGGTGGAGTATTACTCAGCCCTAAAGAGAAACGAAGACCTCATGCATGCTATAACATGGATGACTCTTGATGAAATTATGATAACTGAAATAAGTCAATCCCAAAAGGACAGATATTGTATGATCTCACTTATCTGAAATAGGCAAACGTCCAAAGTTTTTCAGTGGTTCCAGGGGTGGGAGGGAGAGGGAGTCTTAGCTTGGGGGGGTGCTGAGTTTCTGTTAATGGTGGGAGAAGGATCTGGAAACAGATAGTGGTGATGAAGGCTCCACAACATAATGAACGGAACCAACGTCACTGAACCGTACATGTAAAACATGTTGAATTGTTCAAGGTTTTGTTATACAATCACGTGGCGCATAGCATCTGCTCTGGCAACGTCCAACCGTATATACCTCCGTGGTCCCACATCAGAGTAAACACAAGTAGTCAAACATGTAAAAGCCTGAGAAGTCAGAATGATAGGTGGAGAGCCATGATTTTCTTTTTTTCAGATATGCACATTCAAATGCTGCCTAAAAGTCAAGCAATATGAAAATATATATATCTTTTTGCCTGTGTGTGTGTGTGTGTGTGTGTGTGTGTGTGCGCGCGCGCGCGCTTTAGGTGAAAGTTGACAGCTCAAGTTCATTTCTCATTCAAAAATGTATACACATATTGTTTTGTGATATTAGCTGCAATCCTCACAATAGGTCAGCACACTCCCCCTTTCCACCCCGGGTTCCCTGTGTCCGTTTGACGGGTTCCTGTCCCCTCCTGCCTTCTGTCCTGCTTTCGGACAGGAGCTGCCCGTTTGCTCCCGTATATCTGATTGAACCAAGAAGCACACTCCTCAGGTGCGTTATTTTGAAAAAGTATCTATCTGTTACATTTGCTGACACAGTGTCCATGCAAGTCCTGGCATCCTGCTATTTCCTAGTCTCTCCTTTATGGTGTAAATGACCCCTGAGAAGCGGACAGGTGAAGAAACTGGCCTAAGGCAGGAAGAACTGCATCTCTCACTGTAACTAGAGGAAATTTATGCAATTGTTGGCTTCACGGCTTCTGTGTACTCTGGGAAGTGGAAGCGCGTTGAAGATGGAACATGTGAGGAGAGGGGAGGTTTGAAATTTCCATTGAGATATCTGCAGCAGCAAGAGGCAAAGGAGAAGCGTTGATCTGGAAGTGAAACGCATTGGAAGTGAAACACAAGGTTATTCACACAAAGGTGGAAAATCAGCCGATGCTATTGCTCACGATTTAGGCATGTTCGCCCAACGTCCAAATCACATAACGTTCTATTTCACAGAATGTATCGTGGATGTTAAGTGATGTATGACTGTAAATATTTTTACCAAAATAAAACAATTTAAAAAAAATTAAAAAAAGAGTAAACCCCACGCCAAGAGTTACACAGTGAGTCGCAGCTGTTACCCCAGGGCTGGGCTGAGAGGTAAGGGAAGGGGACCATTACCCAGGGAGATGGGCTACCTGCTGGGAGACGGAGTATACCATGCTGAGGATGGGCCAGAATTGGGGGAAGGAAACATTAAGTATTTTATCCAGAGGACCCCTGAGGTCAGGCTGCAACTGGGGAAGGCTCCACTACCTTCCCTGGGGATGTGCAGTCAGAGGAGGAAGGAAGAGCTCACCCAATGCTCTGGATCATGAGGTTCTCCTCCTGGGGGCCCATCTGCACAATCAGCAGCGAGCGGATCTGGCCAAGGCATTCAAGCAGGCTCATGGTGTCATCCACGGAGGACGGCGAGATGGTGTATGACCGTGGCAGGGCACGCAGCAGCTCCCCAAGCCCATCATACTGCCGGTGCAGGAGGCTGAACATGGCCCGAACCAGCTCAGGGCTCTGCACAAAGTCCTCCTGGGCCCAACGCACCACTGTGTGGGACACCAGCTCCTGCAGGGATTCTGGGAAGGGAACACAGGAGTCAGAACATCCTGCTGGGGCAGGAACAGAATGTAGAACCGTGAGCCAGAACAATGCAGACACGATCTCTCTTCTGAGAAGGCTTCTCAGTTACTAACTATCCGCACTCTCCGCCTGCCAGAAGTGGGTGGATTTAGCAGATTTTTTTCTATTATCCCAGAGTCTCTGTTCTCTTCACCCTAATACCCAGACCATAGGGTCCTCTCCCAATTTCTGAAGGAAAAATAAATTCCATAACTGCAAAACACCAGAGAAGCATCATTAAGTACTTCACCATGCAACGTTGAAAGCACAAGTCACAATTGCGTTTGTTCTGTAAAAACTGCTGAATTTTCATCAAGAGAGACAATAAACACAAAGCAAAACTGTGAAGACTTTGGTATCTTTTGAAAATGATGATAAAACAACTCCATATTATTCTCCCTGCTAGTCTCCCTGGGACCTTCCTCCCCTACATCCAGCATCCATTTATCTTTCTGTCTCTCCTTCTCTCCCAACTCCTTCCTTACCAGTATTTCTGGGAGAGAAGACCGATGACCACCTGACATTATGTTGTTGTTAGGTGCCGTCGAGTCGGTTCCGACTCCCAGTGACCCTACGTACAACAGAATGAAACACTGCCCAGTCCTGCGCCACCCTCATGATCACTGCTATGCTTGAGCCCCTTGTTGTAACCACTGTGTCAATCCATCTCGTTGAGGGTCTTCCTCTTTTTCACTGACCCGCTACTTTACCAAGCATGATGTCCTTCTCCCGGGACTGATCCCTCCTGATAGCATGTCCAAAGTCACGGTATATCTAAATTTGTATATGCTTACTTGTTATAATATTCTCAAATCCTTGAGGGCAAGGGCTTTGATTTTTTCTCCCCACTGTATTCCCTACCCTGCTAACAATGCCTGCCACAGAGTTGGCCCAACAAAAGTTTCTCGAATGTTGTAGAATAAATCCTGTACCAACACTAGGGACTCTGCCCTTGTTAGAGGTGGCTAATACATCATTTGCCTAATGACACATTTGCCCAACATTGAGCATAACTGTTTTTCTAATTCCTTAGCATGGCGATCTTTTCACCACGAGAGAAAAGCAAAGCAAAGCAAGGCCACGAGGACATGGAAGCCACCATCCCAAGGTTGATGGTCCAACACACGTAGTATGCGCCCCCCACATTTGGGCCATGCTACCAGCAAGTGTCCTCTCACCTCAGCCCTCCTCTCTTCTTCTCTCATTCCTGCCCACCTGTTCCTCCCTTGCATTGCTACTTGTGGCCTGTCTTGGACCCAGAACCTCCCCCAAGCACAGGAGCCCTATCCCTGCCCCCTCCCTGGTGGTCCCAGCTCTCACTGGGTTTGCTTTCTTCAGCTGGCTGCTCCTCCTCGGGTTTCTTCTTCTTCACCAGCCGCACTTTCTCCAACAGGCTCATCAGGCGGCTGCCCAGGGTAGCCTCTTCCTCTGTTTCTTCCTCCTCCCCATCCAGCTGAATTCCTGGACGTTGTCGAGAAGGGAAGAGATGTCATTCATCTGTTTGCTTAGTCATCTGCTCATTCACTTCTTCATTCATTCATCTGTTCATTCATTCATTTCTCATTCATGCATACATTCGGGGGGTTTTCATTTCTTTACCTGTTCTCATGTTTGTTCATTTATTCATTCTTTGAAGCATTTGTCTTTTAAATCAGTTATTATAAATACATTCAAAGAATTAAAGGAAACCATGTTTAAAGAATTAAAGACAAGTATAATGACAATGACTTATCAGATACAGCATATTAATAAAGAGATAGATAATATAAAAAAGAACCACACAGACATTCTAGAGTCAAAATATATAATAACTGAAATAAAAAAATCACTAGAGGGGTTCAACATCATATTTGAGCTGGTAAGACAGTCAGTGAATGTGAAGATAGAACATTAGAGATTATCCCATCTGAAGAACAGAAAGATAGAAGAATGAAGAAAAATGAACAAATTCTTACAGGCCTATGGGACAACATCAAGTGTACCAATATATACAAATTGGGAGTCCCAGAAAGAGACGAGAAAAAGGAGCAGAAAATATATTTGAAGAAATAATGGCCCAAAACTTCCCAAATGTGATGAAAAATATTTATCTACACATCCAACAAGTTCAATAAACTTCAGCTAGGATAAATTTAAAGACCTCCATACCTGTCATGGATTGAATTGTGTCCCCCATAAAATGTGTGCAGCAACTTGGCTAGGTCATGATTCCTAGTATTGTATGATTGTGTTATCTGATGTGATTTCCTTATGTGTTGTAAACTCTACCAATATGATGAGATTATATGTGATCTCCTCATGTGTTGTAAATTCTATCACTGTGATGAGGTTATACTGATGAGGTTAACAAGATCAGCATCTTAATGCAAACTCTTTTGAGATATAAAAGAGAAGCGAGCAGAGGCACATGGGAACCTCATACCACCAAGAAAGCAGTGCCGGGAGCAGAGCGCGTCCTTTGGACCTGAGGTTCCTGCGCAGAGAAGCTCCCAAACCAAAGGAAGATTGATGACATGGACTTTCCTCCAGAGCTGATGGAGAAAGCGTTCCCCTGGAGCTGACGCCCTGAATTTGGACTTGTAGCCTACTGGACTGTAAGAAAATAAACTTCTCTTTGCTAAAGCCATCCACTCATGGTATCTGTTAGAGCAGCACTAGATGACTGAGACAATAGCTAAACACATCAGACTCAAACGATCAAAAGACAAAGAGAAAGAGAAAAATTTGAAAGCAGCCAGAGAAAAATGACTCATCATGTATGAGGGAACCTCAATAAGATTATCAGCCGACTTCTCCTCAGAAACAGCGGTTGTCATTCAGCCAACCACCTCTCCATCCAGCTGTCTGTCCAGCTATTTCTTCACCTATTTCTTTATCACTCCTTCGTTCTATCAGTTCACACACCCATCCATTCACCTGCCTATAGCCATCACCCATATATCCATCCACCCAAAGACCTGTATAAACATATCCTTCCACTCATCAGCCATCTGTTCATTAAAACATCTGTTCATTCATTCATTCTACCAATAGTTACTTAGCACCACTGTAGATGTTTAATGTAAGGAAGTCTCAGGGAAACTTCAGGGAACGTCTCAAGAGAAAGTTGGAGTGGGGTGGGGGGGTTCTTTGTGCTTCCCTCCCCTTACCACAGTGTGCCAGCAGGTCTTGATGAAAGTCGAGCAAGTACTGTCGAATATCGTCAGGGAGAGGACAGTCTTCCTCATCTGCACCATCTTTGAACTGCAGCAGCATGTTGATCTAGAAGACCATCAGACATAAGGTCAGAATCAGACTCCAAGACCCCAGATCAGAAACTCTAAGGTCAAGGACCAAAGGTCCAATTATGGGTCTCAGTCTAAGATCATGAGTTAAAGTGTGAGTTAGTGAAGAAGATACGGGAGACTAGGGCCAGAGGTTTAAAAGGGGTCAGGAGCAAAGGTCAGGTGACTCAAAATTCAGGTTGGTTCAGAGAGAGGTATGGGAGTAAGGAATGAACGTATCATTAGGGTCAGAGGTCAGACACAGGTGAGAGGTTGAGTACCGTCTCAGAGGAGGGGGAGAGGTTGAAGCTGGGGTTTAGACAGTAAGACCAGTCAGGGGGTCAGAGGTACCTGCTCCTGGGGTGGGGAGCGGAACTCGCGCGTACGTCGGGCAGTCTCAGCCGCAGTCATGGTGAAGGATTTCATGAGGAGGCCATACCGGTCCCGTTGGTTGGCCTGGAGCTTGTCCACATAGCGCTCTGCAAAGGCTGCCAGGGACTCCACACGGTGCTGCAGCTCTTGGTCACAGAAATACTCCAGCATGTGGCACATCTGTGGGTGGACAGCCATGCCATTGGAGGGATGGCAATGAGACCATCAGGACTTCCTTGAAACCTTTCTTGCTTTCTTGTCCCTCTCCATGGGCCTGCCCTGATCCAGCCACCATCAGCTCCTACCTGGATCCTTAAGCCAGCCTCCTCCATTGTCTCACCCCTCCAGTTCACCTCCCACATGGCAACCAGAGAGGTCATTCCAAACCAGCACCACTGTACTGCTTTATGCACTTCCACAATTCCCCACTGCCTCAGGACAAAGTCCAAACTCCTCAGGCTCCACCAGACTCTGTGTCTCCCAGCCCAGATAGATGGAGGCTGAAAAACAGGAAGAACCAACCCACCTGTAACTTCACAGACTCTGGCAGCTTCATCTGCAGCAGCCCCTCCTCCAAGCCTTCTTCTTTATCCCCTTCTGCTGCCTCTTCTTCCTCTTTTTCCTCATCTTCCTTCTCCTCTGCTGCTTCCTCCTCATCCTCCTCCTTCTCTTCCTCATCCTCTTCCTCTTCCTCCTCCTCCTCCTCTTCCTCTTCCTCCTCCTCTTCTTCAGTAAATACTTCAGGCTCAATCATCTTCAGAATCTGTTTCACATCCTCATCACCAAAGACACCCATCACCTACAGGAAAAAGTTTGGGTTCTTCACGTTGTCTGAAAGGTCTCCATAATCAGGTCCTGGCTTCACTTCCCAGCCCTGCTCCTCTTACACATGACAGATTCATTTGTGCATTGCCTTATATGACTCCTCTGATAAGCAGGAATGGCATCTCCCTGCCTTGTCTTTCACCCCCTTGAGATCCTCCCAGGTCCACATCCTGTCCACACCCACATGGCCCAGACCACACAGCCAAACATGAGCACCTTGCCCTTCACAGGCAAGTGTTCTTCCTCCCAAGCTTGAGCATATGGGGCTCTAGGACAAAGGCACATCCTATACCTGACGGAGGCCCTCATAGCTACCTTACACCTCCCAGCATATACCATCTCTCAGTGAGCATAATGAAGATGTTAATACATGGACAGAGAAGGCAGATGAAAGGGAAGAAGAATGAAGAGAGACAGAATGAGAGGTGGATGGAGGTGGAGAGGTGGAGAGACGGCTGGGTGGCTGGATAGATGAATTAATAGAATGGTAGAAGTTTGAAGGGGAGAGACTGGATGGGTGGACAATAGATGCAGAAGATAAATGTGGAGGGACAGTAGGTGGATGGGTGGCACAAGGGTAAATAATGTATATCTATGGATAGATGGGTAGATCGATGTGTGAGCAAGTAAATGAGTAGCTGGGTAAACAGAAAAATAAGTAAATAGCCAGGGGTGCAGAGTACGGTGGATGTATGAATAGGGTTTGTATGAAAAGCTGGATAGATGGATATATGGAGGAATGGTTAGAAAAGTGAATGAATGAGTACATGAAATAAAGGATGGATAGATGGATGAGTGGATGGATGGATGGGTGTAGGATGATTTGATGGATTTCTTGGGTGGGTGGATGGGAGTATGTACGGCTGGAGAGATGTATGGGTAGATGGACAGGTAGGCAGAAGATGGGAGAGTGGGTGGATCGGTGGATGGGTGTATGGATGGATACACAGGTGGAAGGAGGATGACGGTTGGATGAATGGAAGGAAAGAAGAAAAGATTGATAAGTAAATGGGTAGGTAGGTGGGTGAACAGATGGAATGGTGGATGGACAAATGTATGGGTGAACGGAAGGACGAATGGATGAATAGATTGAAAGCTGGATAGATGGATACATGCATGAATGGCTAGATATGGGAAAACAGATGGATAGACTGTGGATGGGAATATAAGTGTATGGATGGATGGATGGATGGAAAGGTGGGTGGAAGATGGATGGATTGATGGTTGGACTGGTAGGTGAAGACTGATGGTTGGTTGGTTGGATAGATGAATGAAAAGAAGAGATGAATAAATACATGAATAAATGATAGATGAATGGATAGAAGTAAAGGTGAGTAAAGGATGGGTAGGATGATGGAAGGATAAACTGAAAGGTGGATGGATGTATGGATGGAGAGATGAATGGGTGTTTGGGTGCATAAATGACAGGGTGGTTGATGTTCATACGGATGGACTGTTTGGAACGTGGAAGAAGAATGGGACAGAAGGAAGAAGGAGGAAGCCATTATTACCAGCAGAGTAGACACAAGCTTGAGCACCGGCACAAACTGGAACTCCACAGAGCCCCCAACGGGGTCACGTGCGTGCTGCCCACCATCTCGCACTGCCTCCCCCAGCATCCTCAGTGCCTTGTCCCGCAGGGCCTCCAGAGGGATGGCGGGGCTGAGGCGGGCCGGGGCTTCTGCCACCCCAGCAGCCGGCAGGGCAGCCACGAAACAGGGGGCTGAGAAATGATGCGGGGGGCGCAGCGAGGTGGTGACTCCGACTCCAGGCAGGCCGTGCCGGCGAGAGCCGTTGTCCCCGCGTTTTCCAGGTGGGAAGAGCGTTATGGCGCGGGTCTCCGGGGTGAGGGGCAGGATGTACTCAGAGAGCATGGTGCGGCGGGTGCGGCAGGCACTTTCGAGGTGGATGCTGATGAGGAGGTCGTAGTAGCCTGCGCGCAGTGGGCCTGGCAGATGGGCGTCCTCCAGCGCGTGCAGCAGCTGCGCCTGGTCTACGTGGCTGCACAGAGCGTGCGCCACGCGGTTGTTGCCCAGAGCGCAAACGGCGCGGTAGAGGCGGAGGGTGTGGGAATGGAAGCGCTGCAGGTCCAGGCGCTCCGACAACTCCAGGATGTCCATACACCTGTGGCGGAGGTGGGGAACACAGAGGGGGCAGAGTGGGCAGACGAGGTGGGAAATACAGACCACAGAGAGGCAAAGAGATGCTTAAGTGAGTGTTGGTGGTTCCAGCAAGGAATCCCAGGGCCTGCTGGGCCTGTGTTCTGTAAGAGGCCCTATGGGGCTGGGGCTCTGTGGATGGTTCTAGAAGATCCTACGGGGTCTGGAGGCCCCTCGGAATACATTCCTGGGGTGGTTTGGGGCCCTGGGGTATCTGAGAGTCCATAGAGAAGGTCTTGTGATCCTGAGATGTATCTGCGACCCCCAGATTGGGTCTAAACCCTCCCGGCAGGTCTGAGTACCCTGGTTATGTAAAATGGAAACTCCACGAAGGCAGGACGTTCCTGCCAGTTTGGTTGTTTGCTATATTCCCAGCACCTAAAACAGGACCTTTAAAAAAAAAAAAAACCGTTGCTGTTGAGTCGATTCCAACTCATAGTGACCCTATGGGACAGAGTAGAACTGCCCCGTAGGGTTTCCAAGGAGCGGGTGGTGGATTCGAACTGCCCACCTTTTGGTTAGCAGTCAAGCTCTTAACCACTATGTCACCAGGGCTGCAAAACAGGGCCTAGCACATAGAAAGTGATCAATGAATATTTGTTGCATGAATAAGTGGGTGTGTTTGGGGCTCTCTGAGTCGTGTCTGGGGACCCTGGGGATGGGTCTGAGTTCTCTTGGGGAGATCTGAGCACCCTGAGTTGTATGGAAGCGTTACTAGAATATCAGTTCACAAGGGCTTTGTGTCTCCAGCCTGGTCATGCAGGAGGCCCTCAGAGTTATTTGTGGAATGAATGAATGAATAAAGGAAAGAATGAGGCATGCCGGAGTCCTCCTGGGATGGCTTTGGGATCCCCAGCCATGTTCAGAGTCCTCAGAGTATTCCTGCTAGCCATATGACCACATATCTGTAGCCCTGGGTGGGTCTGGGTCCCCGGGAGTGGGTTTGAGACTTCCATGGGATATGTCTGAAGACTCCCTGGGTATGCCCAAGAGACCCTGGGGTGCATCCAGGCCTCTCTGAGTAATGTCCGGGGCTCCCTGAGATACATTTGGGGTCCTCTGGGGTATTGTCTGGGCTCCGTGATGTAGGTCTGGGCTCCCTGAGATGGGTTTGGGGCCCTCTGGAGTGGTTCTGGGTCTCCGAGGATATTGTCTGGGGTCCTCTGAGGTGGATCTAGGGCCCACTGAAGTGGGTTTGGGGTTGTCTGAGTCTAAGATCTCTGAGATGAGGCTGGGGTCCCCTGAGGTTGCCCTGGGGTCTTCTGTGGTAGATCTGGGCCCCTGGGGTGGGTCTAGGGCCCTATGAGGTTGCCCTGGGGTCTTCTGAAGTAGATCTGGGCCCCTGAGGTGGGTTTGGGGCCCTCTGAGGTGGGCCTGCAGTCTTCTGAGGTAGATCTGGGCCCCTGAGGTGGGTCTGAGACCCCCTGAGGTTGCCCTGGGGTCTTCTGAGGTAGATCTGGGTCCCTGAGATGGGTCTGGGCCCTTTGAGGTGGGCTTGGGCCCTCCTGGGGTGTTGTCTGGAGCCCCCGGGGTTCTAGGAGGAGGGGACCTGAGTTGGATCCAGACCTCAGAGGGCTCGCAGTACCCGCCCCACCCCTGTGTGGCTGGGCTGGCCCTGACCGGTTCTCCTCAGGGATGTGCAGCGCCATCATGGTCAGCGGCTCCTGGCACTGCACGGCCCAGCCAAGCCGCTCGCCGGCCCGCCGCGTGTCCACCTGCAGGAAGTGGTTGGGCATGCGGCTCCAGGAGATTGGCATCAGCATCTGCACCTCGAGCCGCGGCGGGCTCTGTGGGGCCGAGTTCTTGCGCTCGCTCAGGAACATGGCAGCTGACAACGGCATGATGTTCTGGGGGGCAGGGAGGCGCACATGGGTCAGGACTTCCAGCCCTTGCTGTCCCACCAACCCTCTTCCAGGGAGACCTCCCGGACTGCTCCCTCCCCTTAGCCACTCTGCCAGCCTGTCCCATTCGTGCCCACATCACTGCACTCTGACCTTCAGCTTCCCCAACTCAAACTGGATAACGTTCTGGTGGGTGGGCAGGACAAAGACAGCAGGAAACAGCTTCGTGTTGGGTTCCACCTGGCAAGGGAAAAGTGGGCGGGGTGAGGAAGAGGATGAGGCTGAAGGTGGTGTTGACTCTGGATCCCAACCTCTGGGGCCCTGCTGGCATCTGCACATCCAAACTTGGGCAACAGAGGCTCCACAGTGGCCGTGAGGTTGCCCTTGGGCCTTACCCCCTGACCCAGCAAAGGCCAACCTCCGCCACCTACCCCCCAGCACCCTGTCACCCGGGTCTTTGTATACATCATGTCCCTCCACCAGGAGAAAGACCTGGCAATCTGCTCCCTTAAAGATCACAGCTTAGAAAACCCTATGGGGCAGTTCTCCTCTGCCACATGGGGTCACTATGAGTCAAAAATGACTCAGTCACACCCATCAACAAGTGGATAAATATGTGATAAACGCAGTGTAGTCAAATGTTGATGGTAGACGCTTCTAGGTGGGTATAAGGGTGTTCGCTGTGTAATTCCTTCAGTTTGGCCATATGCTTGAAAAATTTCATGATAGAGTGTTAAAAAGAAAAAGCCCACCTTAGGATTCTGGCCCATCCTAGGGTGTTCTCTGATTGGTGAAAAGGTGGTGACTAGGGTCACCCAGCCCAAGGGCGATACAGACCTCTTTGCAAGTCAAGACTGTGCTCTGTCCCCTCCTTTGTGGACCTCCGTTTACCCATTTTATATAAAAGATGGTTCGACTAGGCGTTCTCCCAGGGACCTCCCAGTTCTGGTTGGTCCTGAGGACAGGGCTGGGAGCTGTTTTTGGCCTTCTCTCCGGGATCTGGCCTCAGGGGGTGTCTGGGAGGGTTGCTAATGGGGATGCTATTGACAGGTTGCTGAGGGTTGGACTCACCTGGAAAAAGGTGTTGCTCTCTTTGCCATTGGCCGTAAAGGTCATTAAGCCGGTGGCCAAGTCCACCAGGCAGCCAATGACCAGGTCCGTGTGGCTGATCCGGCCCTGTTGCCCGGGGCTCACAAAGTCCCCGCCCCATACCATGTAGCAGTTGCCGCACTTGAGGCTGGAGGAGACAGGAGTGGTCACTGCACGGACTCTTCAGCAGAGGCGCTCTGGACCCCAGACACCCCCTTTCCTGAGCTCCCAGAAGACCGTGACCTCCGAGCCCCTCCCGAAACACCCACCACCTGCAGACGTGAGCACTGAGACCCCTCACCGCAGACTGTGAGCAACTCGGAGCCAGAGTTCCTGAAGCTGGTGAGGGGTTATAGAAGGCGGAGAAGGCAGGGCAGCAGGAGGAGGGAAAAGAAAGGAGGTGACGTAGGAGGAAGGCAAGATGAACAAGGAGGAGGAAACAGAAGGGTAGACATGGAGAAAGGGGAGGAGAAAGAACACAGCTGGAGCAACGGAGGGAAAGAAATGGTAACAGAGGAGGAGGAGGAGGGGTAGCTCTAGAGCCTCCTCACTGCCGGGAGGACCCAGAGGCCCAGGCCCCACACCAGGCAGCCCCATACCGCCCTGCGGTGCCCGCCTCTCCCCAGCACCTGCTGTGGACGTGGCCTTGTTCATCCCCCATGGTCACTGTCACTGCCCGGACCTTGCTGAGGTCAAAGTTCATGTCATGCTGATGGTAGTCGGGGGTGACCCAGCCCACCCACACACAGCTGGGCTCTTGGCCGGCGAAGACCCTCACGGAATAATAGTACTGGGGAGGCAAAGGGGGACCCGTGGTCAGTGTGGGAAGGTGGGGATTCTGCGGTTCCCTGGGGCTGTAAGTGAGTTTCCCTGGATCCTCAGGGTCCCCTGGGAGTTTAACAAGAAGTTGAAGGATTTGGGGCCTCCTGGGCCTATGTCTCTCTGTTTCTGTGTCTACCGGTTATCGTTAGATTCAGGAATCCCTAGGGACTATTTTGTGATACCCTGAAATTTAGGGCCCATCCCAGGTTACAGCAAAGTAATAAATACACAATAAACCTGTTGCCGTCGATTCCGAGTCATAGCGACTCTATAGGACAGAGTAGAACTGCCCCACAGGGTTTCCAAGGAGCGGCTGGTGGATTAGAACTGCCAACCTTTTGGTTAGCAGCGCAACCCTTAACCACTGCGCCACCAAATACATAATAGCTAACACTTAAATAGCTCTTACTGTTCTAAGGTCTTCACATGGATTACTTCATTCAACTCTTACAACCACATCAGGTGACTACAATTTTTATCTCCATCCTACTGATAGGGAGACTGAGGCATACAGCGGTGAAGTGACTTGCCCAAAGGGCACCTAGGCAGTCCACGATCCTGACCGCTAGTCTCATAAAATATTCTAGACTGGGGAATCCCAAAACTATATTGGGATAATTATGATTTTTTGGTTCCCAGGAATATATTATAGTAGCTCTTAAATTTGGGGTTATTGGGGTCATATGGGTGAACCCGAAGCCCTGGTGGTACAGTGGTTAAGAGCTCAGGCTGCTCACCAAAAGCTCGGCAGCTTGAATCCACCAGCTCCTCCTTGGAAACCCTATGGGGCAGCTCTACTCTGTCCTATAGGGTCTCTATGAGTTGGAATCGACTCAACGGCGACGAGTTGTTGTTTTTTTTTTGGTGAGTGAACCCGAATATTGGGGTCCATGATCTACACTGTGAAGCCCTGGTGGCACAGTGGTTAAGCATTTGGCTGCTAACCGAAAGGTCAGCAGTTGGAAACCACCAGCCGCTCCTTGGAAACCCTATCGGGCAGCTCTACTCTGTCCTATAGGGTCTCTATGAGTTGGAATTGACTCGATAGCAACGGGTTTGGTTTTGGTTTTTGTGTTAGTCTATGTTGGTATACCCCCTGGATTTGGGGGTCCCTGGGAGTTATATCCGTGTACTTACAGTTTCATTGTGTTTCTGCCATTTTTAAGCACCTGGCTATATGGATGTGGGGGTTCAAAGGGTTAAATCAGTGTGTGCTGTAGTTTGTGGGTCTCCAGAGCATATTAGGGTATACCTAGATACGGGCATTTTTGGGAATTGCAACACTAAATTTGGAAATTTGGGAGTTCCCACACTATGCTGCAGGGTCCCAAAGCCGAGGGTCCCTGGTTCACACCGTGGTGGTGTTGAGGATGATCTCAGGGTCATCGCGGTTGTCCGTGGGCACCACGTCATGTGGGAGTCGGGGCAGGGTGGGGGTGGCTGGTGGTTGGGTCATCATGGCGGCCTTCTTGGCCTTGAATAAGAACCTGGTGGTGGGGAGAAAAGCTGCTGTGAGAACTAGCTCTCAAGTCCAGCCCCCCAGCGCTTCCCTACGTCCATCCTAACTACACCCTGCTTCTAATACCCAAGGCCTCACCTCTAGAGGGAGAGAACTCCCTGAACTGCCCCAACCTGATCCATTCTGTAGGTGCTACACCCAATGCCTGTGGATGCTGGGTAATCCAAATTTATAGGTGCTTTCTGGGAATA